CCAGATTCAGCAAGTGTTTGGAGATGATGCTATGGAGGTAGCACAAATAAAGGAGGAGTTTAACCAATTGAAAAATGATGCACGTTGTTGGAGAACCAGCGTTTGGGGGGCCACCAAATCTGATAATAAAAGATCGTCGTTTAACATCAAGAGAGACTGCTAAATAAGTTGAGATCAGTACAGGTTTTCCACATGCAATTTTAGGTGATAATTCACAGAGTGGCTGCGAGATTTGTTCCCAAGCTTCACTATCTCTCTCTCTGTAGGTAGAACAGAAAAAACAGATAAACTCCCTCTTGTAGTTGTACAGATAATACGGGGAACTATCAACTCTGAACCTGCCTTTTTGTGACTTCTGGCTGTTCCGAAAAATGAAGATTCCATTGATAGGATCCTATTTTCAGAGTGGTGATGAGATAAGACAGAACGCGACGGCAGAGTTGAGCACCATTCAAATATAATCCTTCCAGAAGTGTTTTTGACATTGGAAGGAATGTTGGGCTAAGTGTGTGAAGGCTCTAAGGGATTACTTTAAATTTGATAAGGATCCTTATCCCTCAAACCGAGATACATTTTCTGGCTAAAGGTTGGGTAATTTTTAAGCAGACCTTGTGTTTTTTGTTTAAAATTTCAATTAAAGCAATAAGAATTAGACAATGGTACACTTTCATATTGGTCTTACTAAAGGAACATTTTTTCGATGTGCTTAAAATTAAGGAAAAATATATATTTCTTACACACTCAATGATGCTCCATTTAATGAGAATATTAAAAAAAAATAATAATATGCTTATGAATATTTTCTACAGAGTTAAAATTATATAACTCATTCAACTAAAAAAGTTCTTGAGCAGCTTGGCTAAAAATTTAATACCCTGTTCTCGAGAATATATATATTTAATAAATTATGGACATTTTTTCACACACAGACCTATACGAATATGGAATTTTGACTTTTTAGTATATTAAATAAATATCAAGAAAACTCATTTATTTCCATATATTTTCATCAAAAAAAATTTTAACACAATAATAAAAATACAGAGATATTTGTTAAAATACTGTTTCTAAATAAAAAAAAAATGTAAAAAGGATTTTAAATAATTTGCTTCCCATTTTAGTGACAAAAATGTTTGTAGATGATTACGCAAATGTTTATAAAATAAACATATGATAAAATTTTTATTTTGCTGCTTCTACGTCTGAAGATAAATAAATATAAAATATGCAATTATTTTTAGTATGTTTTCAAATTCTAAGCTCTTTACTTTTCTATGGATTTTATAAATCCCCATAAGAGCGAGCGTGTTTAGATATATATCATATAAAGTAAAGAATATTATAAGAATTTTACTTATATTCAGTTTTTTTGTAGAAGTTTAATATATATATTTGTTTTTATTTTATTAAGGTTTTAAAATTTTGTATTTTGTAGTAAACATCAAAATGTATGTTCTTTTATATACATAAATATATATATATATAATAAATTTTACTTAAAAAATTATTTCCTTATTTATTTCAAGAAAATTTTTTTCTTTATAGGATTTAAAATGTAAAACTTCCGATATAATTTCGTCGTATGTTTGATAATTTGCATTGCAACAATTTTTTTTCTGTTAAAAGTATCTTATTTATTCGAAAGCACATTTTTTAGATTTTTTTAAAACATTTTTATTAATGTTGATTTGCTTGCCTTTCATTTTAAAATAAATTTCTCTCTGAAATTTATAATTTAAGTCAACTTATTTCAAAGTGTTCCTTATTTTAAAATTTCTGAAAGCCTGTATTATTAGTTCGGTTTATAATTAACCTTATCAAATAAATTTAAACTGTACCAATGCTCTTATAACAGCTAGTTTTTATTGAAAAGCACTTTAATAATTTTTTAAAAAATATGTCTGAAAATTTAACTCAAAGATTTTTGGGGTTCGTCTGTGATCTTTATATATGCTCTGGGAGGCAATATTTTCTGTCTCAAAATGAACAAAGTAACTTTAGTTTTTGAGTAGAAAGAGAGGTTTAAGAAACATAATTTTAATAACGTAAATGATACATATTGTGTTAAGAGTTTTATGTAATTAATACTTAGTTTTATCTTAAATAATATAAATAATTTATATTTGGATGTTTAATAACTTAATATTACTTTCTGTTGTATTAATTTTATGATAAAACTGTGTAATATTCACAAGCATCACTATCATATTGGTGCTTCAATGGAAAGTCCTTTTTGGCGATTTGGCGACCATGTTGGGGACCATTTTTAGTGGCTTGGCGACCTTATGGATGCTTCTCAAGACAACTGGAAGCATCTATAACCTCATGACTTATGACGTAAACAGAATTTTCAAGAGAACACTGGAAGTTAGCCACACAGACTATAAACGTGACAGTCACTTGCTGAAACTGAATCAGTTTTACTTTAACTATTGAAGAGTTCCCTTGCCTACAAAATAGAGGTTACTTGCGGCTATTTTTTAACGTTACATACATGTAATTTTAGACACCAACAGCTGTGTCTGAGTACTGTATAAGTTGTGAAAACCTTATGGAACTTATTGTGCTGATTTTACTGCTGTATCCTTTATTTTAAAGATATTTTTTCTACAGTAAATCTCATTGCTCTTAAAGAACTATTTTGTTCTTTGGACTGATAGCATATAATCCAGTAATCTAGATCTATACAACATTTCTTGAATAGAAGTATTATGAGTTTAATAACTTACTTAAACGAATAAATTTAAATAGTATCAGATGCTTTTATAATAGATAGTCTTTATTAAAAAAATACATTAATTATTTTTTAATCAATATATATTGGAAAATGACTACAACCTTAGTATGATATGAATGATTTATTAACAAAATAAAGGGTAAAGATATATTAAACGCCAAAGGAGAACGTCTTTCTCCTAGCTTCTCTAGCCTCCGTCTGAGTCATTTTCCGTGTAGTCTTTTTTGTCGGGCACTATTGGTGGGGTGTGATATCAGTGTGGTTTGCTCCACTTGAAGTAACAGGGGGAGAGGGATGTGGCAGTGCACATATTCAACTCTTCATATATCTTAAAATTTGTTGAACAGTTAGGAAATTAATTTCAAAGACTTTTGGAGTTCATCTGTGATTTATTTGTAAGTTCTGTTAGGCAATATATTCTGACTCAAAATATTCTAATAAATTCTTTTTAAAGAGAAAATGAGGTTTAAGAAACGTGATCTTAAAACTAATAACATAAATATTACATACTTTTTTTGTTTAAAAAAAACAAAACAAAACTGATAGTCGGAGAATGCTGTCAACTATCACTTACGTACAATTATTAAAGTACGGGCATATATAAACAAAACAGAGTGAGTGTAAGGCTACACGACGGCTATTGGCGATGGACCATGGTCAAGTGATGATTACCTAACCTGACACTCCTTGTTCTAACTTCCACACCACACTAACCGGAAGATGTTTGAGCCTAGATATATTTAAAGTGTAACGGCGGGTCTGCTGCGGCACTACGATCGAATTAATGATACTCCGCCATGAGTCCGTGACATTGACCACTAGGCTACCACCGCCCCATACACTGAAAACGAAACCATTTACATTGTCATCTGTTCAACATAAAATTTAACCCATGATATTAATCATTAACAATTAAAATAAATGGTAAAGGGAATATTTTATTCTTAGTAAATCCAATTTTATTTAATAACAATTTATTGATATTTCATAGGATTAGGGGGAAATATCTAATAATCCAATTTACCTGATCTATCACGGAATTTCTATTTCAGATAAATATTTTCTACCTCTTCAAAAGAAGATTAAAACATATAAAAGAAAAAATTCTATTTTTTGTTTATTTCTTCATCATTATTTTATTTTTTTTTACATTATTACAGGAACAACAATTTACGAAACATTATTGAATTTCACAATCAAATTTCTTTCAGGAATTTCTGGAGTTTTGTGTCTTGTCCTCTTTTTTTTTTAACCTGAATATAAATAATCCTTTTATAATAATGCTTTGAATAAACATTTTTTGTATATACTTTAAATGATTTGAGAAAGGAAGAACTGGGTTTTTATTTTATGAAGAAAATTCGAAATCATTTGCCAAAATGGCAAGAGTGTTCTTTTTCTTTGTATTCATTCTTTTTAAATTTCAATTTTAGTGTTTTTAAAACGACGATTACAGTGCTAATGATATGATCATTTTCACGGTGAGCAAGATAAACTTTTGCGACCTTTTGGAATATTTTTCTCAAGTATGTAAACTTTTTATGCAAAGGGTTACTTTTTGAAAGTTTGTTCTTGTGTACTCAAACACTAAAAGGGGATTTGATGTTGAAAAAAATGCTAAATGGAATGTTGACTTTGTGACTGTGTCGTAAAATTTGAGGACCTCTCGAAATCCTAGTAATAAAAACAATAATGAAAATAAAAGAAACTTACTTTTTGTTTCGTTTGCTCAAGCAAAAATTCTCACTAATTTAGATCTTTAAAATGGCTCTGAAATTAACTATACGTAATCCTTTTTTAGGGAGAATATTTACATTTCTGAAGATAAGAAAATGATAATGTGAGTCGAAAGATTTTAAAAAGGTCATTTGATGAAAATAGTTTTCTGTTCTTTATGCATCAAAGTCAGTGAATAATTTCATGCATTAATTACATTTTATTTTTAAAAAAAGTGTGTGTGTACTTATATACGCACGTAAGAAGTTATACTTTTTTGGCGTAACAAGATTAAAATCTTTAGCAGGGCAAGCTGGGCCAAGGACGAAAGGCGGTCACGAGTAGAGTTGAACGATACTAACCTTCAGTCAATTGGACCACCAAAACCTGAGATAGTCACGATTTAAATAAATTTAAACACCCCAATAGGCCCAATAATATGGGGAGGGGGTCGAAGGCGGGAATGATCTGTCCCGTTCTGCATATTTCTAGACAAAGCATTTTGGTATCCGTTCCTACGGAACGCAAAGCAAAGCTTCGCTGACGCGGGGGTATAGCTCAGTGGTAGAGCATTCGACTGCAGATCGAGAGGTCCCCGGTTGAAACCCGAATGCTCCCTTCTTCAGGGAAGTGGAGAGAAATATTTTTTTGAGAATTCGAAGGCGGGTATGATCTGTCCCATTCTGCATCTAATCAAAGCATTTTCGTATCCGTTCCTACGGAACACAAAGCAAAAGTTCGCTGACGCGGGTGTATAGCTCAGTGGTAGAGCATTCGAGTGCAGATCGGGAGGTCCCCGGTTCAAACACTCGCGTGTCCCCTTCTTCAGGAAGTGAAGAGAAATATGTTTCTGAGATTTCGAAGGCGGAAATGATTTCTCCCGTTCTGTGTATATTTCTTGACAAAGGATTATCACATCCGTGACGGGGTGTTCGCGCATTGTAAAAATTTACCCTCATCCTATTTCTCTAACCCCCCAAAAGAAGTATAAGTTCAAAAATTTTGAATTTAAATGAACTTTCCAACTTTATACAAATTCAGTAGCTTCAATTGTGAACATTGGTTCATTCATATTTATGTTTTTATAGACTAAGTTTGCGCAAATCGATCAAGTATTTTGTAAAGAATAGAAAAAATTACATCTGGATTCTTATATTTATGCTGTGTTTTAAACGTATAGTTTAATAGGAATATACTAATTAATTGTACCCAGTTGGACATATACTCATTTATTTGTTTTCCAAATGCGTCCAACCGTATAAAATAAGATATTAGAAAATCTACTCATTTAACATAATCGATTCATTGGTCTTGAGGTAACGTGCCCACTTCCGTAAGCTTAATTTTGCGGGCTCGATCCGGACTGGAGTCGAAAGACTTTCTGGATGCGAAAACCGTAGACACGCATGTCATATAATTACGTGGTACGTAAAAAATCTCTTGAGTACCAATTCGGTATTGATACTCTTGGCAAAATTAAATCATGGCAATTTGTATCATCTGACTAGAGCTTGAACAAAAATTAATTCAAGCTTCAAAATTTGGTAGCGATAACCACCACTATGGGTGCCTCTACTGACCACTTGACTTGAGGGAGTTATACTGTGTCTTCAAAGGCCTGTGTGCCAAAATGCATCCCATTTTTAAAAAAAAATTATTTAATTTGATGAACTTCTGCCGTATACGTTGTTTTTCAATTTTTAGATTCGTCTACTTTGCAATTTCTATATTTTGTAATATTTGTAAAATTGGTTAAAAATGTGACTAAAGCGCACAAATGAGGGAATCAACACATTTTAAAGGACTTTTAAAAAACTACTAAAACCTTATAATTAAAAATTAGTACACGTAATAAAGAAAATGTGCTTTTCATAATTATTTAATAAAATTCAATTTTTAATTTTTTTATTTCAAGCAATTAAAAAAACTATTAAGACAAGTATTTAACTTTTATACACCATTGTTCGTGTTTCTGAAGGTTTATGATTATCTTTGAAACTTCCACAAACAATGGTGTAAGCATAACGTTTAAATGATGGGCAATGATAAACTGTGTGTTGGGAAATCAATTATACGCCATCCAGGTTACAAGACAGGCAGGCTAACATGATAGAGACAATATCATCCTTGGATGTGGTAGCAGTGGGTCTGTGTTATCTTCATTGATGAGTCGAGATTTAACCTATAAACTGATTCTCGATGTATTCAAATTGTTGCCTAGTATTATCCTTAGAACATCATGGAATTGGACCAATATGATGGTATAGGGATCCTATAATTAATAATGTCTTGATATTAGATGGTCACACCGAGAACTATACGGTTTTATAGGGGGAGACCTTACTACTCTGAGATACAGGATGGTACTTTAGAGTCCTAAGAGAGAATTTTTAGATTGGCAGTTAGAACCCCGTTTATTTTTAGGAAAGATAACTCTCATCCAGACAAGACTCTTCATTTGATAAATGCATTGATATTGATGGTATTCAGAAAATGACCAGCCAAATCTTCAGACCTGACTTCCAAATACAATGATTGGGATGCTCATGGCAGATAAATTGTCTTACTCACTTCCTCCCAGAACACTTCCAGAATTAAGAAGAGAGTTAGTGGAAGAGTATTACATGATTTCGTAAGCAGATTTGTATATAGACAGATAGCTTGTTGTGAGAGCTCGATTGTAACACCAATTTTAGATTATTATAATTTTTTGAGCATAAATCATGATTATGGGTGAGTAAGATTAAATTCTTGTTTATAAATTTTTAGTTGTATTTAAATTTTCATAACACACATATTTTTATGAACAGGATCAGAACAATTTCAAAATGCCTTAATACTTTTTACTGCTGCACATCAGCTTACGTGCATGGGCTTAGATGTTTTCATTAAATGTGTATGTTTAAAAAATTAAACTTTTTGTTACTTAAAGAGCAATATCATTACTATTCCAAAATAATGCTTAGCTAATAACCAATAATAAATTTACATTTTTCTTGTAATCTTCATCTTCTCAACATGGTGGTGAATTATTGTGACTGACTTCATAGGGAATCAAATGAAATACCGCAGGTAAATTGACCGTCAACCCTTGTTCAGTTGTGCGAAAAAGCATACAAATAACTCCAGTAATGTTTTTACAATTTTTTTTTCTTTTTTCGTCTTTCATTCAAGCAAATTGTAGACTAAATGTTTTAATATAAATTATATAAAGTCAGGGCAATAATATAAATACAAGTCCACTCTTGAAGATGCATAACTTATCTCCTATGCAAGTTTTTAAATATTTTATTCACATGTTTGAAATTATAAAGAATCATACTTTTAGAGTTATGAATTTATAACGTGAATTTTATTTATCAGATTTTACTTATATAATATAAATGTTTTTCACTTTATTATGGGTCTGCTCTGAATTAATAAAAACAAAATATATTCAAATGAAACACGCCATTATATAATGAATCGCGTATTTGTATTCCTTTTAACACTCTTGACTCACAATGAATAAATATTTCATTTCTTCTTTTAAATTTTATAAGTTAAGAGTGGTATAACTTGTCTAACATTATATATATATGGCTGGTGTCCTTAAATCTTGATTTTCCACATAATTAATTCCTTAATGAATGACTCGATTGTATGTACTACATATTCCTTCTCTTTAGTTAAATTCTGTATGAAATGCATCCTCTGTATTTGAGGCCATTAAATCTGCTCCCGTCTCTGAAATATTTTTTAAAGGATCACCTTATTCAACGACTCGAACATACACTTTCATCCATTTTGTGGGGGGATGAGAAAATATTTCATAATTTTTTCTATCTTGTCTCTCTTGTGCTGTTGCATTATATCCACACTCTCAAAGGATCGCAATTTCTGATGAGTTTGTTGGTTGCTAAGAAAAGAAGAAACAAGTGTTCCTGTGCACAGGTGTTCCCTCAGGGAGTACTCAGTTTGATGGAGAAAGAACTTGTGTTTTAGAACTCTGATGATGAGCAGTGAAGAACCCACTGCATTAACTGTCTTTCCCTTGAGATAATGGTGGTGCTGACGCTGATGTTGAGTACAGCTTCTAGTTAATTTCTAGCTCATAAAGAATGTCTTGTAAGTGGTTGTGGAGTGATATTTGTGCATTTGAGATGGCGTTGCAGTTTTGTTTGATAGTAATTAAAATGTATGGATTTAGAAAATTTTTCAAGGTTATTTAAAGATATTTGGTTATGCATCATAACATGTGCTGAAATTCTTTATAGAGAATTATAAGAATTTAAATCAATTTTTTAGAAGATTTGAATAAAAATAAAAAAAATTATATTTAGTGCTTTAATATCAAAGAAATTAAGCATTTTTTAAATCGAAATACTATTTTTTATAATTTATTTTTTTTTAGTAAATATTATTATAGCCTACTAGTAAACTCACATAAATTGTTCTTAATTTTTGTAATCTATCAATTATCACAAAGACAAAACTAATGATTTATCTACAGATTTTTAACTTTAAGGAAGATATTAATTCTTTGCCTGTACATCCATGTGCAAAGAAATGAATGTTGAATGTTTTTAATAGCATCGTATTATAAAAACAACTCGAGGGCTATTGGCGATAGAACTCGTAATTTTGAACCACGGTTAAGTAACGAGGGAAATACTTGAGCTGAAAACCTCTCTCCAAGCTGCCACACCACGCTAAAAGAGAGCATTTAAACTAAGGAGATTTTATGTGAATCAGTCTCTTCTGCATGGTGAATCTTCAGTGGAACTTGGGCTCGAATTCAAGACACAGTAGCCCCGAACTTGTGAGCATGGCCACTAGGCTATCGTGAAACCATATACAAAGAAAACTTTTTATAGGTCAATGCTTCTCAAACTTTGAATATGTGCAACGCAATTTTCAGTCACAGTTTTCATCACGCCCTCCTCCATACAATAACAATGTATTGAATTAAATAATAATGTACTTCGAAGCTGAAGCTACAACATGACTTTAATTATAAACCATACAAATTATCACAAGTATTAAATTTTGTATATAATTTTATATATAACAAGCTAAAAGGGTCACTGTTAATTATTAAACTTGTTCTTAACTTAGTATTGCTAAATTAATAATCAAAAACATTGCGCAGTACTGATATATTTATAAGTGTATTATATTAGTATAAATAAGTGTTTTATTTTTTATTATGTCAAAATGTATTTTATTTTTTGCTTCCTTTTAGTAAATTAATAATATTTCTAAATCTTTTACCTTTTTTGACTTTTCCATATGCTCGTGCCTCCCAAGTTGGGTTTTCACGCCATCCTGGAGGACCACCTCACAGTTTGAGAAACGCTGTTTTAAGTAAATTCAGTTTTGAATCCACATCACTTTATAAACTCCAGATTTTCCTCTTCAGTCTATGATCGATGCTCATACATATTGATTAAAACTTATAGAAAAACCTTTCAGAAAATATAGAACATATTCCTAAGTATGTTACCTATAATAATACTTAAACGCAAGTGATGTGTTAAAAGAGGTGCAAATATATGGAAAACTTGAAATGAAACATAGCAGAACTCGGAAATATTTTTCCTTACAGCAGTGTTTCTCAAACTGTGGGGCGCGCCCCCC